CACGACACGAGGCGCCACCTCGCGCACGACAGAGGCGCCACCTCGCGCACGACAGAGGCGCCACCTCGCGCACGACAGAGGCGCCACCTCGCGCACGACAGAGGCGCCACCTCGCGCACGACAGAGGCGCCACCTCACGCTGTGACACGATACCTTCACGACGGGCTGCATGCGCGGCGCGGGCGCGGGCGCGGCCATCAGCAGCTGCAGCCGCATGACCTCGACGTCACGCGCGAGCTCGTCACGGAGCTTCGTCAGCATCTCCACAGCTTCCACGCAGACCATCTCTATGCTCGTGCCGGGCAACACGTCGTGGAACTGGTTGAGCAGCAGTATCTCCCAGTACGCCTCGCTGCTCGCCGGCACCGCCCTGTAACGACATGGATACAGTGTTGGTGTGTGCACGTGTGTGTGTGTCTGTGTGCATGCTTGTTGGTGTGCGTGTGTGCGTGTGTGTGTGTGTGCGTTTGTGTGCGTGTGTGTGTGTGTGTGTGTGCATGCGTTTGTGTGTGTGTGTGTGTGTGTGTGTGTGTGTGTGTGTGTGTGTGTGTGTGTGTGTGTGTGTGTGTGTGTGTGTGTGTGTGTGTGTTGTGCGTTTTGTGTCGTGTGTGTGTGCTGCGTGCCGTGCATGCGTGCCCCATACCGCTGTGTGCTACGTGCGTGCGTATGTGCGTGCATGATAAATGTACTATATGATACTTATGTATGAGTTTCAATTCCCAAGAGAATGCTTCAGGTAATTGTACAGTAACTGTACATGTATTTTTACAGGTGATGGTGTAGGTAGTAGTACAGGTATTCGGACTGGTAAATGTTCAGGAAAACTTTCAGTTAATTGTACAGATAATTCTTCAGGTAATTGCACAGGTAACAGTGCATGTACTAATTGTACAGGTGACACCGATCAGCCGCGTACACCTATAGTGATCAGCTCACCTGGTCGCCTGGGTGCGGCTGATGCGCGGCTGCACCGACAGCATCGCCTGCAGGAACTCCCACTGCTGCAGCAGCATCTCACAGGCTCTGTTCAGCATCTTTATCTGTAACGAGCGCAAGAGATGCAAGAGATGCAAGAGTTCGTCCTGTCTCAATGTACTCTCAGTGAGATCTGTGAAGCTCTACCTGTCTCAATGATACAGGTAAACACGCAGGTAATTGCACAGGTGATGGTACGGGTAAACACGCAGGTAATTGCACAGGTGATGGTACGGGTAAACGCGTAGGTAATTGCACAGGTGATGGTATGGGTAAACACGCAGGTAATTGCACAGGTGATG